CCGCCCCCCCCCCCCCCCCCCCCCGTGTCTGCATGTGCACGTGAGGGAGAGTTGGTGGGTCTGGAGTGCCTAAGCAGCTAGGTCGTTCTTTTGTTCTTCTGCTCATTTGGACAGGAATTTGAAAGCTCAGTGCAGCCTATTGTGTTGGGAGGACAGACAGGCGAGATCTCCATAGTAACCCTGGGACTATACAAAGCACCATATGGGATGGAAGGGGGCTGGGGGAAGGAGCCTGCCTAAGTGGGAAGGCCATGGTGGGTCTGGAGTGCCTAAGCAGCTAGGTCGTTCTTTTGTTCTTCTGCTCATTTGGACAGGAATTTGAAAGCTCAGTGCAGCCTATTGTGTTGGGAGGACAGACAGGCGAGATCTCCATAGTAACCCTGGGACTATACAAAGCACCATATGGGATGGAAGGGGGCTGGGGGAAGGAGCCTGCCTAAGTGGGAAGGCCATGAGTGGAGTCGAAAACTTACCCGTGGGGTTTTTTGTCTTCATTGTCTGCTCTCCGCTGCTGGGGGAGCAAGCAGTCTGGAGTCAGAGGGGTTTACAGGCGCACGGGCCTTGTAGGGGTTGCTCCCGCAGGAAGGGTTGGCGGCAAGTGTGCAGGCAGCTGCTGAGAAATCCGTCCCCCTTCTCGCAAAGTTCCCTTTGGCGGCGCTACGTTTTCAAAGCACAAATCCCAAGGAAAGACTGGCTGCCCAGAGGGACCTCGGCAGCAGAGCCAGCTCCCAAACAGACGTGGCAACGCTTGCACGTTCGCCTCACCACTGGGAGCAAGCTGAAAGGGAGGGAGCAGACTGCCTTTGAGCCCACTGAAATGACCACCGAGGCCGAGTGTAGCCGAGATGTTGTTGGTGTTAATTGTACAGTGTTCCCATCCACCTCTCGAGAGGCGCGTATTTCATGTCCAGCTCTCTCCATCGGGCTAGATGCCCCCCTCAGCAGGGAAGTGAATAAATAGTTTTGCCTTGAGGCAGACAGAGAGGGCCAGCAAGGAGAATAGTCCTTTTGAACCAAGAGCTCTTTGCTGAGGCTTTTTTACTCTAGACCTGTACAAATGTTGCCCTCTGCTGCTAGCAGTGGGTGCAGTATTACTGTAGCCTGGTCTATATTTCAGCCACCATGTTGCCTGGCCCAGCTTAGAGCACTTCTAGATGATATTTGGCAAAAGTGTCGGCAGCCACCCAATTCCTAATGGTTTGGCGCAGGTCTGGTCGCTGTCAGCTCGACGTTCTGTATGTTAGCTCTCTTGGAGCCCACGTCGGGACGGGGATCTGAAGCCATAAAGAACTTTTAGGAAGGTAAACGCTCACCCGCTGTGAATTGCTCCCAGAAACTAACAAGATCAGGGCCATCTATGGGGCAAAGTGTTCACTCAGGATCCGGTAATGATGGCAGATATGTATTCTTGTGCAAGGTTGTTTTTTCTTCACCCCTAGGGGAAAAGCATCATTCCCCAGACTTCTAGCGCTGTGGAGCAACAGGCGGGTACGCAGGCGCGGAACTGGCTGCAAGCCGCTTGTTTGGCAGATGATTGTTTGTATTCCAGCAGTGCCGAGAAGCTCGGCTCGAGATGGAGACAGTCTCTGTCTATTTAGAGTGACGACTCTTTAGGACAAGTCAGTGGCTAGGAAGGGAAATGGAGACGGGGCTGGGGAGGAGGAATTTGACTGAGCAGGTAAGTGACCAGCTAGACTCGCCAGGGTTCTGTACCAATAATTATAATAGACCACCGGGTGGATTGACTTTAATCACCGAAAATGTCATTGATTTAAATAAAGGTTCCCATCGATACTACTTCACATATTTCTTCAACCTGTGGTACGGATCTGATCTCTAAAATATGGGAATGTCCCACTCGGTGCAGCATTGTACAGCCTCTAAGAGGTGAGACTTGGTGAGATTTTTAGCTGCTGGGACTTATTAATGTAGGAATTCGTATGTAATACTCATTATTCATGTCAAGCTGCAGATGTAGCAGCAGTATATAAGGAATGGCAAGAACTAAATCCCACCCACAAACACGATAGCTCTTCTTTTATTGAACTCGGTGTTAAATGTTTCACGTTTACAATTGCAGCGGTCTCCAAAGTTGCCGGCTGATGGCTTTTATTTAAAAAAAATATATATTTTTTTTAATTTTTAAAAAATTTTCAGATTTTATTACCTCTACCAGACCAGTCCTCCAAACATTAAATTAACTCTCATCTTCCTCACTCCCACTGTCACTTTGATGCAGAGCTGATTCCAAGTTACACAAAAAGCTAAGACGGATGGAAAGCAAGCCGAGGTTGGGGCTCCTTTGGGAAAGCCGACTTATGCTGACGTGAAATAGAGAATAGACTTACGGCATCGCACTTATGGTCTGTGACCATGATGTTCCAAAATAAGAGGCCTGTATAAAGTATATAGAATAAGAAAACGACACTCACTGGCAATTCTAGATTTCTTTTAGTGTGCTGTATGCTTGGGTAGGTGATTCTAAACCAGGGGTGGGCAATAAAATGGCAGGGGGTTGCTACGGGCTGATCCCAACAGACCGGATCGGGCTGGCGGATTGGATCTGGCCCGGGGGCCAGTATTTGCCCATCCTGGCTTTAACCCTGGTTAAACTTTCTTTCTAGCAACCTCCAACCATGCGAACAGCTTGGGAATGTACTTGTTAAACCCCAGCTTGTACTAAAAGGCGTAGGGAGAGTCTTGAAGAAAGATGCGTGGCAAAGTCGAACCACATTGTTCTTCAGATGGATCCACTTCTCCATCCACAGCGTTTTCTCCCAACAGGCTGTTTTCTTTATGATGTTTCATTCTTGCAACTAGGCCCTGCATTTTCTTCTTGCCCTGCTTACGCTTGACCCGTTCTTTCCCTGTTTACCCAGGGAACGGATTTCTTCACCGTGCGCCCGGATAGGGTCTCTCTTACACCCAGAAGCCATGCCAGTTTTCCTATGGCAAAAGTGTGAGGGAATACAGGAAGCTGTGTGTGCTGAATGGCTTCCCTTTTTCTCTCTAGCCACTCCTCCGCCACCACTACATAAGCACAGAACAAAAACAGTCCCCTCCAGCCGGTGTCTCTGCACACGCCGGCCTGCTGAGAAGCAGAAATCGAAGACCCAGAACTTTAAAGCAGCAAGAGCTGGCTGTTCGGCTGGACCGACTAGAGCCGTTCATTCATTGTTATGAGACTACGTGTAGGTGGAGCATGCCTGGGATCAGATTTAACAGTCACTTACTTCAAATGAGAACTGTAGTATTTTATTGTTTTTTTAAAAAGAACAACGGATTTTAAATAAAACCAGATTTTTAATTGAAAAATTAATTGATTTTGATCCACTCTGATAGACAATGCTGCCTCTGTCTCTTAGTAACAAATCAAACCTGTTCATAGCTAAAGCTAGTCCCTAATATTTTTGGGACAGTTGTAGAACTTGAGAGACGCTGGCTGCTCTAAAACGGGCATCTTTAATGATTACAAATAGGAAAAACCCCTTTGGCTGAAAATTAAGTCCTTTCAACACTGCCCCGTGAGTACCGGCTCTCGCAGGGATGCGTTCTTAATTTTGGGGGTCAAATCCACTTCTGATTTCTCAGAGCTTTCCTCTGCGCTACTCACAGCTAACCGCTCCTTGTGTGTGCTTTCAGATTCTAACAGCCAGCGGTACGAGATGGGGTACACCCGAGAGGAGGAGACTCCCGTCTGTCCTGATGAGTTTGACGACTTCGTCACGTTTGAGGCAAGTATGAGTAACCTAAGCAAGGGCCTGAAAACTGGGGGTGGGGAGCCTGGGACTTGCAATAGAGGCACCGCTTGGGCGGCGTTCAGCACTCGCAACTGCTGTGGACTTGGTGGCGTTTGTGGGTGTGAGACTCCGAAGGCTGGGCGCAGCGTCGGGCGCTAAACCCAAGCCCCGTTATTGAAGGGAAACGGCTCTTATGTGAGAAGTCGGGTGGCATCCCCTTTGCTTCCCCCTGGCATCAGAATCCGCGTGTCTGCCTGCCAGATGCCGCTGTGTGGTGTTTGGTGCTCGGAGGGGAGGACAGCTTGGAACGCTCCAAGTTTTTTCCCACTCTGGCCACAAGCTGCCAGTGCGGGCCGGGCTCCTTCGGGAGTGGTACCCCTGGGGGCAAGAGAACAGGTGCGTTGCTGTGGTTGTGTGGCCACTGGGGGTTGTGGCATCGGAGCCCAGGGACAGGACGTACAAACTGTGAAATGTGCCTGTCGTGAGCGAGTCTCTGCTCCAGTCTCTTGGGGCTGTTCCCAAGCAGGAGGATACAGCAGAATATTTCAGCTGGTCTTATTCTTTGCCATGCTGCCTGCTAACGGCAGGGCACAGGGCACTCAGGTTCTGCTCTCTCTGTGGTGGACGCGGAGTGTTTCATTTTGAAAGGTGAATGGTGCTTTTCCCCTCGGTCCTCCCCGCCGGGACGGATTGGGCCGTTCCGCTGGTCTCTTGCCGTTTGCTCTCCCCAGCTGTGCACGGGGCGGCTGTTCCAGGCCCTGCTTGTCAGCTGTAATTATGGGCTTTGCTCTTCCCCAGGCTGCGGGGCACTGGGTGCCTTCCAGAAGCCGCAGGGAGAGGGCGTCTTTCCCCATGAGCAAACGCTCTGCAGCTGCCACGCAGCCCCAGCTCGCCGGGTTGGCTGTTTTTCCAAACCTGTTTTGGAACATTTCCTGCAGTGATGCAGCATTTCTCTCCTCCCTGCCTGCTGGCACCCCTTGCAGAGAATGCCCAGGCTTGTTCCCGGGCCATCCCGACGGCCCCAGCCTTTAACCCTCGAAGAGGGGAGACTCCAGCCTGGGCCCTCGTGAGATGCCAGGCTAAGGGTAGGAGGGACAGGCCTAGGGCAGTCCGCCCTTAGTGCCACCCAGACGCCAGCACTGCCCCCCACTCTGCCCTCAAAGCCCTGCGGAGCAGAGGAGCAGTGTTCCCGCGGCAGTTCAAAGGGGGCTGGGACTCCGGCCACTGCTGAAGTAGTGGCACTAGTTGGCAGGAGTTCCAGGCCCCTTTGAAATGCTGGCTCCTCTCTCTCT